CGTGGCACATAACTTCACGCTGAGGCTTCCCGTTAGTATAATGGGTTAAAACCGAGATCTCGAAAAGCTCAAACTTGGACTCGAGGTCATCCAAGCCCGAACGCTTTGCTCAAGCGACCTTGTGGTAAAATCGGGGGTAATCACCAGCAGACAAAACAAAACTCTCTCTAACCTTTTTTCAGAAGATCTCGAAAGGTTCCGATAAGACAACACAGATTGGATTGGATTCTATAGCTCCGAATAAAAGCAATTATTGATAAGCTTACCCAGTACTCCGAGTCCTTTCGTTATCAGAGCGACATCCTCCGGTCGGATATTAAAGCCCTTCGCTGATTGGTTCCCATCAGCTAAATGATCTGCATTGAGGAAGACAAAATAATTTTAGTTGTAGATACTGTAAGCCGTAAATTCAGGGATGATTAAATGGGATGGGCTGCTATTCTAACGCTCGCTATTGACGTTTCTAACCATCATCTATCATTTGAAAGTGGAGATGAATCGATACCGAAAAAGCCTGTCCGTCCTACTTAACGGATCAATTCCCGTCATACAAAAAACGTTCCGTTGCCCGGCAACTTTCTGTCAAATGGGCTTAACTGGTTCGATCCCTATTTTTCCCTTTTCGCTCAACAGTAAAGCTAAAACTGATACTGATAGTAAAGCTACTAGTAAAAATTATGGGGTAAATGTAGGAGGGCAGCTAGCTACCAGTCAATGGGTGTCCCTAATGGTTTTGGGACTTCTTTCACACGCCCAGCGTGTCCACTATGTCCCCAATTTTCGACACATTGAATACTTGATGGGTGGGATTCAAAGTAGAGCATGTAGGAATAAATGCGACACGGAAAAATCTCTTAACCTACCCGCAGGTGGTGGAGGTGGAGGCGGTGGAGCCTGTTGAGTGGGTGGTTGATTCCCCTCACTTAGTGACTTTCCAACCGCTTGAAGAATTCCGCTCAGCAAGTCACCACCGCCCTCTGAATGGTGGATTGGATGAAATCAGAACTAAAGCAAAAAAAATAATTATTTCAAATGAGGCCTAAGGAGAGCTCTCTGAAGATTTTAAAACAGAAGAATTTTGCATGGCCATATGGAGAGAATAAATGAAAAGTTATAAATGAAGTGAATAAATAAGTCCAGATAGGCACTGAGAATGAGACGCAGAAAAGCGACTCTGTTTCTCATGTGCACCAATCCCACCCACCTTGTCTTCCTGCGGCATTTGTTTGCTGTGGTGGTGGTTGTGGTCTTGTTTGCTGGGCGTTTGCTGGCGGCTGGTTAGAAGCATTTTCCAATATGTCTCTGGCTAAAACCCCTACGTCACGGAGGTAAAAGGAAACAAGAAAGTAGGAAAACAATTCATGAACAAGCGGAAATTCACCAGCAGTATCAAAGCATGACAAATACCACCTTACCAATAGTTCAAACGTGAATAGGGGTGGAGGGCAAATTTTAAGAGCTCTGAGTAACCCGTCAAGAGAACTTTCGAAACCACCCAAGCGCCGTAGCGCCGCACAGAAGAAGGACCGTTCTATGCTCGTTTGACCTCACCCTTCCTTAGGTATTCGAACACATGCTGCTCAGAATGTTTTTGAGCCACGCCCCCTACCTGATCACCACCGTGAGGAAAATGCGATTTCCCTATGTACATTCATTAAAGAGGCTTGGAATTGGATACACTCACTTAAATAGGCCCCTCAAGACCAATCCAGTGAATGAAGGGGAACATATTTGGTATTATTTGTGTGACAGACTCTTTCAAATCAGGACAGCTGTCACAAAATGGCATAGAACGCACGGCCGACGTCAGCACTTCGGTCGAAGCGTTCAAAATAAAAGACAACCGATTTGCTTTAAGGTTTTTCGGACCCTTTATTGATTTTTAATGGACTGAGGTCTTACCAAATGAACTCTCACCTGAACTGAGGAGTGACGAGAACATTCTGAGAGACCTGAAAATTTAAAATCAACGACAGATAACTAGTGGCTTCGCATGGGGAAATAGCGCAAGCGGAAGGGAAGAGTGGGCGTTTCAACAGAAAAATGGACAACAACGAGACAGCGGGTCGAAAGGCGAGCAGAAAACAGACACAGAGGCGAATGACCGAACGTTGGTGCGAAAAACATGTTGAGCATGTTGCGAAAAGGGACAGAAACCATTCATCAGTTGAAAATCAGCAAATTGGAAGGCGAAGTTGGTGAACCTAGACGTGAAAGAGTTGTTCCGACAAAACAGTTAACGGATTGAGAAAATGAATCCAGTCAGTCAGCACCGTTCCCAGTACCATACCCCAGTATTGGATGGAGGTTGGTTGAGGAAAGTAATGATGAAACAGGGATAGAAATGTCGCGATGAAGAAAAAACCTCGAGGTCTCAGGTATAATGGCAGATGAAGGAGAGAATGACGAAGAGGAATGAGAAAGAGGGGAAACCTAACTGATAGACTAGTTCGGACCCACAGCGAGCAAACGATCACTCCCGCGTGCCCCCTCTATCCGATGAAGGCGAATTCATTTTAGAGGTATTTATGAGGCAGTAAGAGACTTGGGAGGCGGATTCACATTTCAGAAGAGCATTGGGCTTATTCCTCAAAAGAGGCGGACGAGAAGTAACGGTCTTGCGCTCCCAAAGACCGCCTCTCCTTATTTATTTCTCTCTGTCTGCACTCTAGTTGTGCTAACTTTGAGACGTTGCCCGCCCATATGACCGCGGACTTTACATACTGAACTAGAAGGAGTGAACCTAGTTCAAGGAAACAATAGGGAAAAATCAAGGAGCGAGATTACCTTTACCTTTGGCCTAGTCAATCAATTGAAACATTTCCAGAAAGCAAATTTTGAAAGGTATCGAGTAAGTGGTGCAAAAGTTTTGTCAACAGAGAAGATGCTGATCACATAAGCGGGGCACTAACCCACCTGTGCACCCAACAAAATGACCCACACATTTCTGAGTGCGTATATCCAGAAAGGGCTGACATTCTGTGACTACTTTGGCAGGAAAAAGTGCTTTCGAACAGCTGCTACGCCAGTTTTCGGTTAAATTCTCTAGAATTCTCAGACAACCTCCCTTCTTCTAGTAAAGAAAAATGATCCCCCATTGAGGTCGAAATGCACGAACTGCTTCACATGTAAATGTAAATGCGTCAGATGTTAATTTTGAGTGCAAGTCTTGAAAGGCAGTGATCCAGAAATACGATTTTTCTTGGGTAATTCTTAAGTATAACCCTATTTTTGCTAGTTCTTTGTGTCGCGCCCTGCATTCGACATTCACAGAGTCCGGAGAAAAACCAAAAAGCAAAACAACCCCTGAAACTCAGCTAGAAAGTGCAATCGTGAGTCAATGTTTTCGGCATCTCTCTATCAAAATGAATGATGCTAGTGAGTAAAGGCCTCCATCCTACAAAGGGGCAGGAGGAACATAATCAGCGTCCAAATATATTCCAGCTGGTTATGGGAGAAATGGAGTGATGGGATATCAAAAGAGACCGCGAGCCATTTAATTTCTTGAAAAGCATTAAATGCTATCTGAAAACCCTTTGATATAAAAGACATAGGAGTTTTATCCCTAATTTTAATTGAAATAAACAAACAATTTCCATTCATTCTTGTGAAAATAACGATGGGATAGGGTAAGAAGTCCGGGGAGAATCGATAGAATGAGGCATAAAACAAGTTTCGATGGCGACCTCATAGCAAATGGGTGATATATGGATACAAGACGGATTTAATCGTCCCGTGAATGTGTGACACAGTAATCCAAACACACGCTGAAGCGCCTCCAAAACACCCGTCACAATACGAAGCAAAGGAAGGGAACCCTGGGTGAAGCCTACGGAACAGGGTAGTGGGTACTAGGGGATTACGGTGTCACACATCCACGGGAAGCTAGAACCTCTGCAATTGTATGGATGGGCGCATGAAACTCCCGCGGGGACTCCTTTACTTCTTCAGACCGAACTAAGAAAAATTTAACTTGTTTGGACTTGATAACCTGTTAACTGCTGTCATATCGTCGCCATAAGCCATGAAAAGTTCACAAGATTGCCGAGTTCCAAGCAAAACCATCTCCGCGGACAGGACCAGTCCCCTCTAATCTTGTAAGAAAAAATTTTACTTGTTTTGACTTGATGTTCTTGTCAACTGCTGTTAAACTTACGCAGTACGCGTTGCGAAAATGTTACAGGATTGGCCAGCTATGGACGAAAACTCACTAACTTTGTAAAAAAAAAGTATTTTCATGATTGGTGATGAGAACTGGTAGAAAGAGCAGTAGAAAGAGCAAGATTAAGAGTAAAACGGACGAATTGAGCTAAAACGAATTACCTGCTAGAAATTTGAAATTAATGAAAAAATTGAAGGGTAAGGTGCATCAAATTTGTTTGGAAAATAACAGTTAGGAAAGAAAAGTGCCTATCTATTGCTACATCCTGCCTCAGAGATCATTTAAGATTCGTCTTAGGGGCTCTCACCCAAGGTTTCTGCGTTTTTGAGGGGGAAACCGTTTGGTTGGCGCACACAGAAAGTTTTCCACACCGTGAGTCACCGCTATATGCAGTCTTTACTCATATTTTAGATATTTTAGGAACATTCTGTCCCCCTCCCCCCCTCCGAACGTTGGAGGACATCGGAATTCGGCAATCCCAAATTCCTCGAGGATTTCATGGCAATATCAAATGAAAAGAAAATTGTACTGATTAAAACAAGTAGAAATTTATGAATGTCATAGGTCAATAAGATTTCAAGGAAGACCCATCAGAACTCCCATAAACTTAGTTCAAAAAAATGAAATAAAAATAAAATAGATGAATAAGAAGACATTATTACTAAGCTGTCAGCAGCTATTCAAAGTAACAAAAAAATTAAATAGATTATAAAATATAACGAAGTTTCAACTATATATAGGTGAATATGAAAGAATATCTGCTACTAATACTCAGGGAGGAATATTATGGACAAATCGGATTTTCTAAAACAACGACATGGAAATTCCGGTTTCAGTGGCCTTTGCAGCATCGATTTCTCTCAGCGATGGCCAGACAGCAATGTTTACTGCGGCATTGCACTTGAATGTACTACTGTTATGCGAATGTGGCCACAATTACCTTGACTGAGATGGAAACCTACTAAATTATCGATTCGATTGATTGGCTATCGATTTTTGAAAAGCATGTATAAGTATGTGCTAACTGCGTAGGAACTTAAGGAGAAAAATGTCGGCAAGCACGAGTTGTCCACGCGATGACTGGTCCTATTGATTCCGTCGGCGACAACCCATTGCCAATCTGGCGGAGACCTCCAAACTATCGATTTTTTGGAATCGATCGATAACTACAGAGTGAAAGAAGGTCAGGCATTCGGCATTTGGGAGACGGCCGTCTAGACGAAATGATCTGCGACCACGAAAAGTGTAATAGCTGTCGTCTACGTGTTGCTAGCGTGTTGTGTAATAATCGCCTTCGAGGGAGAAAAAAAACAAATACCGTTGAAAGCCTCCCTGTTGAATCAGTACGAGTTGGGCGAAATCGATAGCTATCTTTAGAATGGTAATGATTTTACTACTCTGTAAGCTATTTGAGAGCTGTCCAAGTGAGGGGGTAGCCAAAAGACAACGATCGCCGCTCTGTACTTCGAGTGTTTTTCGATCGGAACCTGCCATACCAAAGAACCTTTCCATCAATGGAGAGAGAGCTGACTAGACGTCAAAATGACAGTGCATGGAGGATAGTGTTCTACCGTAATCTACCAGGGGGTTACAACCATTTTTTTGTTCTCACAAAAAAAGCCCTGATAGCTCAGTCTCATCACCCATCCCCTAATTGAACTCTCTCACCTGGCCCATATCGTGTTTGCTAATGCTTCCGATGGAACGCGTGACAACTGAGAGATAAGAAAATGCAACATTTTGCTCCGATACGACTAAGCAGGAGATGACCAGGGAACCGAGAAGTAGCGGTTACTGTGCAGGACTCTTCCACCCTCTTCACATCAGACACCGACCTTATCGCCGACTCCTTTCAAGTCCTAAAGGTGGAACAGAGGTGTAAAGGACTGGAATCAAAAGGGAGGCAGAAACACCCTTTTTTGAAGTGACCACATCACCTGGTAATGCTCGGAACCTTTTGCATTGAGGGATAAAACCTCTACTTCGCGTCCTACCATAACTAGGAATCGTATTGACTTATGACTTAAATCTGGAATAAACAAAGATCTGCCGAAGTAATCTAGCGTAAAAGATGGTGCATCTCTTTTACCAAACGAGCCCTGGAAATAGAGGACCAAGAGCAGATTTTATAACCTGGTTCCCAAACTTTCTTGTTGCTGCAGCACTACCAGACATTAGTTACTACTTCGCTCGACTACTTCGTTACAGAAGGGATTTTTTTTCTAATCCAGGCAAGGCATTATAGAGTTTCCGTCAAAGGCGCAGTTCACGAAAGTTTTGGGATATCTGGTTTAAGTCGAATAATGAAGTGATAATCCAGAATATTGCATAAGTGGCGAAGAAAACGCGAAAATCGGCAAATCCAGATGAATATAAGGTTCAAAAAAGAAGTAAAATTAGGGATTGGACGAGAATGCGACGATAGAACATGCATGAAAAAGGCGCTGCCTGCGCGCAAAGGTGGACTAGGTGCGAATGGTGCAACTTCTACAGCCTTTACAACGCCTAAAACCTCGTACGTACGTCGGCACAGCCGGATTTATGGACCTTACTACGCCCTATCTTGGCCGCTTTTCGAGTTCCTACGAATTTTGCTATGTTGTTCCTATAACATATAATCAACACATCGCAGTAAATTCACTCCGCGCAAGTAACATTATGGATTACGACTCGCAGTATCGTGGACTGGAGTTGAAGGCCAAGTTAACACATGGGGAAAGGGTCCTCAGATGACATTCGAGTGATCTTCACGAGGAGTCTGTCCGAACACCTGTAGTATC